AGTTTTTCCAGAAAAGACCAGATTGTCCATGTAAACACCAGTGCCACTGTACTGTCCTTCCATAACCTCACGTAAGAACGGAGGAAAATCTATAGTCGCCACACGGTCAGCATTCGCTTCCTCACGTTGATGTTGGTGATCTTGTCCTCTTCTTAAACCTATGCAGCCAACCAGAGGAAGCATTGAAGGGTTTAGTGCAATTCCCAGCTTACGGACACTGCTGCGTAAAGTTCACGTAGCATTCGCACTGGAGCGCGGTCGACCGCCATGTTCCGTCTTGCCTGACGAATCAGGTAACTCACCAGCAAATTTTCCACCTTTACCAGCACCTTGTTCTGGCAATACAGTATTACCGCAACGCCGCTTTCACTTAACGCGTTGCATATACGCGGTGCCTTGCCAAAGCTGAACTTTCACTTAACGTGGATTTTTCCACAGCAACGCGGTGAGTGTCCGGCCTGAGCTATTTTTAGATTCGCACCACCCCCTCACCCACCCGCCTGACTGCCTGTTTTGAGTCATAAAATTCATACAAATTATCAGCCAGATAGTTTACATTGCTGGAATTCTTATAATTTGGTGATCATTTTGAATATAAACAACATATTTTTTGCATTAAACATACAATTTTTAGATAAAATGTTTAATCTGGAGTAAGTATGTTATCTTTGTCCAAAATATATGACATTTATATTCAAAAATATTCCTGGTCTTACAGAATCCAGCAATGTCAATTATATTATCTTAATTTAGTGAGGTATTATTATTAAAATTTAGTGGTTATCCCACATCTCCTTGGGACTTGGTGGTGTGGGAGAAAAGTCCAACTGACTATTATCTGAAGAATTATTTTTTTTAACTAAGATATTTGTTTTAGCCTTAAAATTCACATAAATTACCGGTCAGAATATAATTTACATTGCAATTCTTATAATTTGGTGATCATTTTGAATATAAACAACATATTTTTGTATTAAACATACAATTTTAGATAAAATGTTTAATCTGGAGTAAGTATGTTATCTTTTGTCCAAAATATATGACATTTATATTCAAAATATTCCTGGTCTTACAAGGAATCCAGCAATGTCAATTATATTATCCTAACTTTAATCTGAGGTATTATTTAATACTAAATGTTAAAACTCTTGAATGGAGGATTGGTGGGGGTGGGGAGGTTGGGACTGACCGCGCGGTTGGAAGAGGGGAGGCAAGGTGGGGTACTTGATTGACAGATAGTGTCGAAGAATATATTTTTTTTTATTAACTGTAGATATTTGTTTTAGCTCATAAAATTCATACAAATTATCCAGCATGATATAATTTACATTGCTAATCTTATAATTTGGGATCATTTTGAATATAAACAACATATTTTTTTGCATTAAACATACAATTTTTAGATAAAATGTTTAATCTGATAAGTATGTTAATACTTTGTAAAAATATATGACATTTATATTCAAAATATTCCTGGTCTTACAAGAATCCAGCAATGTCAATTATATTTTCCTAACTTTAGTTTGAGGTTATCCCACACTTCCTTGGGACGGTTGGTGGGGGGTGGAGGGGGAGGAGGGACCGACCGACCATCTGTTAGCTGGCTGTACTGTAGTGTGAGAGGGGAGGGAGTTGAGTCCATTATTTGAATGGACATTAACTTCATGCATCGTATTTCTCTTAAGTATTAATTGTGTGCATGTACCATCATAAAATTAAGATGTTATTTTTACTACCAGTTATTTGTCGTCAAAAAGTGGAGTTTGGGGGTCGGGCTGGGTCCTATTGGAATTAATCCCATATGTTCTGTTATTCACTTTAACGCGGTTTTCACTTAACGCGGGACCCTCTGGGTTCAATTGACCGCAGTAAGTGGGGTACCACTGTATTGTCCCCTCTATATTATGTGTTAGAATACCATCATAAAAGTAAGATGTTATTTTAGTAAAATCGACGACATGTGTCGAAAAATGGTTTAGTCGCACCATTTTCTATATAAAGTTATGTTGTTCACTTTACGCGTTTCTCACGCGGAAAGCGAGAAACGCGTAAAGTGAATAACATAACATATGGGATTAATTGAAATGGAGTCCAGGCCGATCCCCAAATTCCACTTTTTGACGACACATAACTATGTTGTAGTAAAAATAACATCTTAATTTTATGATGGTACATGCACACAATTAATACTTAAGAGAAATACAGTCGCCAAGTTAATGTCCATTCAAATAATGGACTCAACTCCCTCCCCCTCTCACACTACACTGCCGGCTCTTCCCTCTCTGAGAAATTTTGGGGGGAAAACCAGGTATAGTAATAAATAATACCTCAAACTAAAGTTAGGATAATATAATTGACATTGCTGGATTCCTTGTAAGACCAGGAATATTTTGAATATAAATGTCATATATTTTTCACAAAAGATAACATACTTAATCAGATTAAACATTTTATCTAAAAATTTTATGTCTAATGCAAAATATATGATGTTTATATTCAAAATGATCACCAAATTGTAAGAATTCCATCAATGTAAATTATATTCTGGCCGGGTAATTTGTATGAATTTTATGAGCTAAAACAAATATCTTCAGTTAATAAAAAAAAAAAAAATATTCTTCACGACACTATCTGTCAATCAAAGTACCCCACCTTGCCTTCCCCCCTCTTCCAACCGCGCGGTCAGTCCCAACCCTCCCCCCCACCCCCCACCAATCCTCCCTTCAAGAGTTTTTAACATTTAGTATTAAATAATACCTCTGATTAAAGTTAGGATAATATAATTGACATTGCTGGATTCCTTGTAAGACCAGGAATATTTTGAATATAAACGTCATATATTTTGCACAAAAGATAACATATTTACTCAGATTAAACATTTTATCTAAAAATTTTATGTCTAATGCAAAATATATGATGTTTATATTCAAAATGATCACCAAATTGTAAGAATTCCAGCAATGCAAATTATATTCTGGCCGGGTAATTTGTATGAATTTTATGAGCTAAAATAAAAATCTTCAGTTAATAAAAAAAAAAATTCTTCACACGGTAACAGATGGTCGGTCGCCGGTCCCTCCCTCCCTCCCCCCCACCCCCCACCAACCGTCCCTACTAGATAAATGTGTGGGAATACCAGACTGTTTACCTTTTTAGTAATAAATAATAAATCAGACTAAAGTTAGGATAATATAATTGACATTGCTGGATTCCTTGTAAGACCAGGAATATTTTGAATATAAATACAGTATTACCCCGCTTAACGCGCTTTCACTTAACGCGTTTTCGCATATACGCGGTGCCTTGCCAAAGCTGAACTTTCACTTAACGCGGATTATTCCACAGCAACGCGGTGAGTGTCCGGCTCGAGAGCTATTTTTAGATTCGCACCACCCCCCACCCGCCACCCTGCCTGACTGCCTGTTTTAGCTCATAAAATTCATACAAATTACCCAGCCAGAATATAATTTACATTGCTGGAATTCTTATAATTTGGTGATCATTTTGAATATAAACAACATATATTTTGCATTAAACATACAATTTTTAGATAAAAATTGTTCTCTAGGTAATTATGTTATCTTTTGTCCAAAATATATGACATTTATATTCAAAATATTCCTGGTCTTACAAGGAATCCAGCAATGTCAATTATATTATCCTAACTTTAGTTTGAGGTATTATTTATTAAAATTTAGTGGTTATCCCACACATCTCCTTGGGACGGTTGGTGGGGGGTGGGGGGGAGGGAGGGACCGACCGACCGACCAT